TTGCTGAACCTTGTTGGCGTCATGCATCAATTCACCCAGCGACTGAAGTGCCAAAACGTTCCCTAATTTTTTGGTTATCTTTGAGCTTTAATACGTTTTCTGAAGTAAACTACATTGACTGTCAAAACCCCTGGAAAGACAGCTAGTCTAATAATTCTCTTCATTAAGTAGTTCCGCTTTTCCTCTAATGTGAGAAAGTCATGGACACTGCGCTCAACTTCAAACCATTCGTAGAAATCCGTAATATTGACGCGGAATCAAATGCACGTTTCTAAGTAAATTAACCGATGTCCCCCGAGGTCATCAATGGTGAATGTGGTAAACAACTTTAATTTACAAAGCTAAAATCTGTCACTCTGGAGTGTTTTTTTCATAGGCCGTGTGACAACGAAGCATTTGTACAGGGGTTGAAAGGGATCTGACATGATATTTGCGGTTGCCCTTCGTTGCAGCGAACAAACATTGTCTCAAGTCAAGCGCGGACAAATTCGACTAAGTTGTAAACGTCATATTCAGAATTTCGCGCGAAGTTTGTGTGTTAATTTGATGGAAGTCAAACTTCTGTTGCTGAAAATTGATCGTTCATTCTTTGGGCACCTTATTAATAACGGTTTGCATTCTTTGATAAATACGCTCACTTAAATACAAATTTGGTTTTTCGGGAAACTCACCTGGAATCCAGCTGAATCTCTCGTTTGTGATGTTTTCAGGCAATTGAATGTGCTGCACCAGGCCGCCTCATGTTTCAGTCTCCAAGAAGGGCGATACAGTTTGTGGGTTATCGAAGAATTTTCAGCAACCTTATAAATAGTGCATTACGGTGCGCATCCTTCTTGCGTATGTATTCTGTATGTCAATATCTCGGACCGAAGACCTAATGAGATATCATACTTTGGACCGCGTCAAAGAGCAATGCAATTAGTTCAGATATCTTTCTCAATTGAAGGCACAATTGTTTGTAACTAAAGACAACTTAGAGAACCTTTCAATGGGAAATCCCAATTAAGACTGTGCATCACACAGTTGCAGCATACAAGGAGGACAGCAGTTAAACGCAAAGTGCAGTAGCACCGAATATAGGTGCACGCATACCTACGACATTTCGACTCTGAGTACATGTCCTGGTACCAGTAGGCATGTGAGTACGTGCGTCCCTACTTGTATGATCCCGTGTAGTGGAACGGTTTTGCTAAGCAATTTATCAGATGTCGAGTTAGAAAGATGACGAAATTTCCTGTGGAGAAATTTTATACTATCATTTCTTTGGATGCAGATATGCTGTGAATACCTTGCCACTCACAAAATCAAACGTTTTCTTGTTTAATTTTATTCAGGACTGAAGACTACGGTAGTGAAGCTCTGTAAGTGGGTGAATGCAGTTACTCGTCCGTGACATTAACTCGGTCTTGGTTAACTGAGCTCACGATAAAACGTTATAGTTTGTCCGTTCAAAAGTATACCAAGGTTCGTTTGCTGTTTGGAACAAGAAAGCACTCAGATGCCTACTTTTGGGCTGGAAAGTTTAAGCTAGATATCAGTGAATACAGCAATCCTCTCAAAGTAGGCGGGAAATAAAAACCGTGACAGGCTACGACTTTAGCATATGTTATTACCAAATCAGCTTATCGGTGTTGGCAGCCAACTTACTTGACACAATGTTAAATTAATTAAAATAAAGAGTGCTTTTGGGATTTTTAAGTTCTTCAGAAATGCGTAAGACGTTCCTTATGGACTGGATGTTTAGCAAGTTCTCCTACCGGGGAACAATTACTATTCAGCATGCCTTGGTAAAAACGAATACCTCTTGCAAACCTGCATACCTTGGGAAATCACAGAGGCGATGAGTGATATTCCCGCAGTAAGCCAAGATGAAACCATAGCAGAACAGCATGATCCACTCTCCACAAGTGTTGTTTATGATGCCAGGGGAGACACAGAGTTCCGCTTTTACCTCTCGTAAAAGAAACACTCATAAACGTGGGCAGCAAACGAATCGAAACATTTATCTAGTACGCATACACAGTGGTTAAAGCAAGGAATAGTCTGGTTACAATTTTACAGAACTAGTAATAGACAGTCGTGTTCGCCTTCTTGCGATTCACGGTTAAACCAGATAACGATGCGGGTTTGGTCCTTTTTGGCTGGAGCGAGAACAGAGCAGGATCTTTACTGTACGTGATTCCCAACACAAATTAGTGTGGAATGATAAGCTGTCTAAAAAAGAAAATAAAACGCCAGATTTTTGTCAATCTGACACACTTATTAGTCCATCCCATGTAGCAAACCAAAGTATCTTGACCACTCCTCTCAACGAGTTGTGCTTTCCGGAAGTTCATCGGACGTTCTGGCCAGTGGATGGTCAAACGTGTATTGAGATTTCGAAGTTGAGTTCCCAGTGGACCAAATTTTTGAAAACATCAGGCCTCCATTTCTTCCCTGAAAAATTAAGATTCCGCCAGAAATCGCTCTTGTGGAAGGCCTTTTTTATAATCGTAAATTTGATGGTTTTTTTAAACTGACCATCAACCAGTTTCAACTAATCCATCGAAAACGACCAAGATGTAACCGGCTGTTAGACTGGACGAGCAAAATTTGGTCCATTATTGTCACAGAAACGCTGCTAGACATACGTTCTTGGATATGGTTTAAGCGAACTTTGCCTCAGCTTATTCATTTCCGTCAGAAATTACCCGTAAGACGCTTCTCTACTCGAAATATGCTAAAATTATAAAAACGTGGAAAGTTTGGCTGACCAGGTGACTATATTTCTTCATATTTGCTGACGGCTTACCAGATTGGTTGAAGGAAAGTTTATCCGAAGAATTCCGAATCAAACTGATGAATAATATTTCACTGGCCTCAAGAATCTCAGCACCGGTAAGGTTTTGCAACCCTTCTCAAATATAGGAGACTTGAATGCATCTGTTGGAAATAAGGACGCAATATGTGCTTAATAGGTCCTCCAATGCGAAGCATTTTTTTCAGTAAGATGTACTTTACACTCATGCAGGTTGGCTGGCCGCCATAAAGGAGTTACTGGTCGACAGAGGTAGATCCACTGGACGTCAGTGCACGGTCGGTAAGCCACACGCAGGTTACACTGAGACGGGCAGATTACTATGTGCCAGCGGCGAATACCGACTTAAAGCCGAGAGAACAAGATGAGCTTGCATAAATACAAAGAACATTTGGCCTTACTAGCGATGTGAGTGCAAGCACGATCGCATAATAACAAAAAGTGTGCCCTGGCGTCACCTGCCAGTTCATTTAAAATTCATCTGAATGTCACTATCCCCAGATGAACTAAAACACAAGTCCTTTTGAGCACAACCATTGCCTCCTACTCTAAATGGGACTGAAGAAATAAAGGTGATTATTTGGTCGGAAACTACTGATGAGGCACACTAGTAGTATGTGTTTTTCCGGAACTCCGACTCGCGTGTAATGACAGGTGCACCCCAATGGGGTTGGTTACTGAACCTGCGGAAATGCTTTACAGCGTTAGCTTTCAATTAAGTGATAGTCAATGAATATTCACAAAATATCAACAAAAGTTGAAGAGGACTTATGAGGACGTTCAGCTTTTAAAAATAAGGTGTACATGAGATTTTTAATTTTCTGTCTAGTAGTATGTGACCAATTCGTTGGTGTTGTACGTGAAACAAGTGGCGCTGACTTTCCATTTTACATTCGTTTTGTCAGCTTGCGTTTTGAGGGTAGAACGGATCGCGTGCTACCCAGGATTCAGCGGACTCATTTAACCAAGACTGTGTTTGTTCTGTAGTCGTTTAGGGGTTTTGTACGATGGAGACTGCTGGGTCCGATTCCATCCAGGTATCTTCACCCACAGATTGCACAGTTCTCGACGGGTGTAGTTGCGTTGAACGTCGAACAACCGCTTCTGTTTGTACGTTTTTGCTCCATCACTGAGATGGGATGAACCTGAAGGCCCGCGAAGATCTTGCAGACACCCGTTTGAATTCCACTAATCAACTGACCACAAGGGAGTCGCTTCAGTTGTCGGGCATTTCTCCCAAATGGTCATACAAGTGCAGCTGACTGAAATATACAAAAAACAGTTAAGGATCGAACCAGTGAGCAACAAAAAACTCATTGCGGAAACACTAACTTCGACCGAGAAGTTGACAAGCTGACGTCATTAGTGGAAGACGTGGAAGAAACAAACTCAGAGCTCATACAGCTGTTATCGTTGGGTAGCAGAAACACCACAACATCGGCGTAGATGCTCCGGACGAAGCTCTGTTGATCAGTCAAAGAAGATTACGGAGATGTGAATGCACAATGGTATTATAGACTAGATCCGGTTTTCAGTTGCTGCTTCTTTTATAAATGGAAATGTATTCAATCAATGAAACGGTATCTTTGCCCGGACAAGGGGTATCAAATTCACCGATCAAGAGGTTCTTCTCTACATCTGTCATTGCACACCCCACAAGAGTCTCATTCAGCAGAAGTAGCTCTACGAGCAACCATCAAGCGTCTTCACACCCATTTGCTCGCCTGCTCGCATATTCTTCACGAACGATCTGAAAACTGAAATCGGTTCTGACAAACAGAATTGGAATGCGGTAAGTGAACCATCCGGAATCAGATCCATTAGCTTGAATGGTCAGCGTTCGCCTACAATGTGAGCGACCTCGTGACTTATCCTCACGTACTGCAACGTCTGTCGCAATTTCGATGCATCCAGTAAGTGAATGTGGACATAAGTTGGATTTCATTACTGTGTGGCAAAGGTAGATCCAGAAAGTCTCCGTGCATGGATTTTCGCGGCATCGATTATATCACACGTCAAGATCTCCCGAACAGAAATAAACAAGAATGAAGGACGCTTTTAAAACAGTCCTAATTGGAATCAGTGACTTCACAACATAAAATCGCCAAGAATGTTTTTTTATGAAAGTGATGCATTGGTATATTCATTTGCTGAGAGAAATAACATGGGCCCTGTAAGACACTCAAGAAACCGCCAAACTCACTAGCTCCAGAGAAGCATAGCATATGAGCCATCTGGCCGGGCTGAAAAAGTAAACACAGGGTAGGAAGGAGCCAGTCATATGCAGATCGACTGTCACAGTGTATCGTCCAGCGAACTAAAGGGAATCTGTGGGGTGAAACAGCCACATTTCTGATCCACCTAAGACACCTAAGATGGAACCCCGAAAATGTACCGGTAAACTGGAAGATCTATGTGTTGTTTTTAGCAATAATTTAAGGACGTACAACACAAGACTTTCTGCATTCAACTTAACGACCACAGCTTGGTGTCTTGTGAAGAACTTATCTAGGCTCTTTCCCACAGACTAAGAAAGTGCTGTGAACTCTGCAGCCCATATGATGAATACGTTAAGAACAACCGTGATTTGTGCGGGGGAAACAAAGCCGCAAACTACTAATTTGTCGTGACATTTTCACTGTTGTGTGTCACAGAAGCACGGGCACAATACGAACAACTTATTGAACTACGTGGAATTGGTCTCCCATTGTCTGAGTTAGTTATGTCAACCTCAATGGTCAACCAAAGAGTGAAGTGCTCAAGCAAGAAAAGGTCAACGATCCAGGCCACAAACCGACGGCTGACTTTCTCTCATCGACGTCTGACGCCTCGGCTTGAGAATTTGCCGCGCCTGGAGACGCAAAAACCCACGAAATACCGATAATTCCACATTCAGAGAGGACGTTTTTTTAGTCGCATGGGACTCTGCTTCCGAATTTGTTTGCAGCCCCTTGGCCAAGGTCAACCATTGGAAGCTTTTTTAGGGCCAATCTTTTTTAACCTCTCCTCGCTCGAACAAAGATAGTACCATTACTTCCAGAAATATGATGATCCTCAACTCCTGACAGTAACACATTATTTTCTTTACACAACTAACACAACAAACGGTGCGCATTTTCCCCGGTTACCTCGCATTACAAAAGCTTTAAAAAGCTGATCCTCTAGTCTTCGCTTCATTGTTCTTCGCTAAGTTCTTCTTTAAGACCGATTATCATGTCAAATCGAAGGTATCTGGGGGTATAAATATCTGTTTTTCCCGGACTCACTGGTTTGTCTGAAAATTTGCCGGAGAGTTTTCTTCTTGTAAAACGTCAGAATTAGGATTCACATGATTCACTCAGAAAAGTTTTGATTTCCTTTTTTAGTTCTTACTATAGCTTATTAATTAACTCATTTTGGAACCCGTTTGAGTGCTAAAGGAAAGTAAGAGAAAGAGTTAAAAACCACAGTGTCTTTCATTGCATATCATTGATATACTTCGTTCTTATTCCTGTCTATACTTACATGTATAAATTTTAAATATTGTGGTACTCCTTTCAAATTTTTCAATAGCCGAACTGATTGATCCCTATACACGTGAGTTGTACAAGTGTTATGAAACTTTGTCCAGTGGCAAAGCTGTCTGTTCTAATCTGGATTCTCAAGTCGTCCACGAATTCAGTATGACACAAATTGACACCGCGCAGGATATCAAGTGAGAGGCGTCTGTCAAGATGTTCCGTTTCCAACTGCCGCACCATCTATTTGCCAACGACGAAAAGAGGAGACAAGGAATGCAAGCTGTTGGAGTTTGAAATGCATTCGGTTTTTGGAGCTCCATTGCACTGACTGGTACCAAAAACAGGCTTTGTTCGCTGTGTAAAAAAACCCCAAAAAATGATACTAACTCAACCGAAGAAGTCAGATGAATGCATCAAAGTGTTGATGCGCCTGTCGGAGCCACCAGTGTAGAATATTGATTTACACATGTCACACCCTACTTTCAAGGACAAATGGGCTGTGTGGCGCGTTAATCGGCCAGGTGGGGTTGGTGTATCTATTGTGCGTCGGTGTAAATTAGTGAACTGATTGTATCCATGCGGTAGTCCTTACGGATGGCTATGTCTTACAAACGACCATTTATAAAGACTTGACGGTCTTCTCATTAGCCCGAAACTACCGCTGTGTAAAAAAACCCCTAACAATGATACTAACTCAACTGAAGAATTCAGATGAATGCATCAAAGTGTTGATGCGCCTGTCGGAGCCACCAGTGTAGAATATTGATTTAAACATGTCACACCCTACTTTCAAGGACAAATGGGCTGTGTGGGCGCGTTAACGGCCAGGTGGGGTTGGTGTATCTATTGTGCGTCGGTGTAAATTAGTGAACTGATTGTATCCATGCGGTAGTCCTTACGGATGGCTATGTCTTACAAACGACCATTTATAAAGACTTGACGGTCTTCTCATTAGCCCGAAACTACAAACCTTTTGTTCCATGCTAAAAGTACACTTTGAGGGACACAGTGACCTCTAGCTGCTCTGGGTTTCGTGACTGACTGTTTTATTCTTTAGTCGCTATCGGAGCCTCTCATATTTGATCGCAACTGTTTCATCTGATTTCAGGCAAGCCGCTGATTGGCAAACTTGCCCAGTTGTGTAAGTGTACGCTTTAGGCGCATTTTGTAAATTTGTAAAACTGAAAGCATGTTGATTCCAGGTGGTAGTCGTTGAGATAAACAAATATGCATCCTCTTGGTTTGTATCAGTGGGCTGAGTTTCACCCAACGCCTTTCGGTTGAAAGTGTACGCCGGGTGGCATTAACTAATGTAGTCGAACTGTCGGCTCAGACAGGCTTTGAACTGCTGCTTAATTGCATTTTTAATTTACAGTGTGCTGCCAGTGTACCTAACAAGAACCAATCAAACGATTGCCTCTATCGATCTTCGTACCACAGTTTAATTTCCCGCCATGCCTTCCATTGAAAGCAAAACACTACTCAACAAGATATGAGTTAGAATGTGGCAACACTCATTAGCAGCCCGTTATGTTTGAACACCTGAGATGGTGTACAAACTGAAATGAAATGTCTAACTTTTGATGTCGACTGCACTGCGGATTTGTACCGACTTTCGTTTGGAGCTCAAATCAACGGCATTTGTAAAACCTTCTTTCACGAGTTTAAGTCTCACAAGGCCGATCATCTCCTCATGGCCGGACGTGTTGTGTCCGTACTACCACCGGAGGGTCACGAAGTCGAAATTTCCTGGAGTTCCATGAGATGCATACTGCTGATGGTGCCCAATGCGGATAAACGGCTTCCCAGGTTTTCAACATTGACCGGCTTCACTTACAGGACAGATCTCAATAAAGGATCCAGGAATTCTGACTCTGCTTTTCATGTTCAAGTCAAGCCGTTCAGTGCTCATCAATCAGCGCATTGTATCCAACATCCTCTTTGAGTTAGCCATAGAAAACAAGTCAGTCTAAATGACAGCCGCGTTAATTAAGTCCACTTCTCGCAGGAGGAACTGTTTTTTGGGGGGATACTTTACTAGGATGAGAAATATGAGCCAACCACACGAAGCGAAGCAAAGTCTGCTATACAAAGTTGAAAACCATAAATTGCTAATTTTCCTGTTGCATCATAGATGATGAAGGCAGACTTCAGCCAGTCAGTCAAGGTCAGTTTATGATACACTTCGTTGTTTTTGCGGTATCGTTGATAACTTAAACTAGCTATTCACTCAATCAGTTGAACGATTATTGGCTTGTCACAGAAGTTGTACGTTTTATAGTTATCAGGTTACGTAAAACCTTGAAAATGTAGAGAGTCACCTGCAAACCGTAGTCCACGTTTCATCAGTCGTCCTTGATATTGTTAAAGTGATACGTGTTTAATGATGGCTGGTACATTCTCTAATTTGGTAGTTGAAATTTGGTAGTTATGTATAGTGATTTATATCCACGACACAAACTGCCATTCAACATTTGCAATATAAAATAATGAGAAAAAGGGAGATATCAAGACCAAAAACGTGTTCCCCACACCAGACCGGCTCAGGAAAGCGAATTCTACAACCCTGTCGGACCATTGGTAACCCGCCTGGGTTGCTTAAATAGTAGTTAATCTGAGAAGTCGGTAAACAGGTTGGCAGCCAACTGGCACGTCAGAGCTACTGAATTCGGGACACACTGCGACGTTCTATGTTTAAAACAGTCCATCACCGGGAGACTTTTACCTGCCCAGAAGCATTTGCTCTGCCCTGTTTCACGTGGTGTAACGTTTATGCCAAGAGCAAACCAGACTCCTTGCAAGGAATGGCTAGAGATAGATGACCACTACACTCACGGCAACAGATACGCACAACCGAAACAAGAGTCAGCAAGACAATTTCCCCTGAAGTCCAGTGGATCTGACATCCTGAGATAAATTTGTACATCAGGCCGCTTAAATCAAATTTCCCAAGTTGGACAGAACCACTAGGAACGGGAAAAACAGAAGCAAGAACAAGGCTTGAACCGATAGCCCCTTAAGTGAACTACGGGCGGAGCAGTTGTTCAGGATGGACACGATACTGAAATCAACAAATCTGGTGAGAGTACCAAACAGTAAATCCGTCCAATCGTCACATCAGCCAACAAAATCTTCAAATCTATCAACAAGAGTATAGAATCAATGAGCAACTTGAAGGCAAACGGAACTATCGGCGATGAATGATTTCTAACCACTGTCGCAGGTGATGAAGACTAGTAGTACAAAATGGACGGGTGCAGTCCCAAGTGTAAAGAAAGACCACACACACAAACACAAACACACAGACCCACAATTCTGAACTCTCAGAGCAATTATCCTCAGTTCCCATCCGGAAATTGAGGTGGGTTCAAAAGTCAAGACATTTTCCCGAATAAGCGGTTTCAGCTCAGCCAATCCAACAGCAAGAAGACACTGCGAAGAAATTTGACATTTCCCCATTGTTATATTTCTTTCGAATGGACCATAAGTATGCTCAAACGGTCTGCCTATTCACCAACACACGGGGAACTGACAAAATCGATGTTATATGCCAAACCAACAGCAAGTTTACTCAAGCTGAAAGCTGTCAGACTAAAACCAGTAACACCATCGTATTA